ATACTGTACCTCTTGGTTCCATTCCTATACTACTATGATACTGCAGTGTAACTTTACATTCTGAGTTTGGGAAAGACCTCCAGCATACCCAGTTGCAGTTGCCCTGCAGGGATCATTAAATCACATTCACATGGAGCTCTGAAATGATCAGGGCTAATATCCTTTGCCTAATGGTCAATGCAGTCTGTAACAAAGGATCAGCTCTGCAAGCTGGAAATTCAGCTTGACTGGTGGGTTATTTCTGACACTCATTGGTTTAAGACCATAACCACAATCACAAGTGTTTGATTCAGCAATTCAGAAGGGGATCCCACTGAAAAAAAAAATCAATTTCATACATTTGAAACATGTATAGAAGTATTGTATAAGACATTTCTTTTAGATTTTAAATGTTTCTTTAATCCCTGTATATTTACAGCAAGTCCAGCTGAAATATACCCTTCTACCAATGAACAACGGGATAAAATTACAGGTTTTAAGCTCAAATCCTGGAAGAGTTCCTTCTGCTGTTGTGCCTCTGAGATATTCTGAGATACTTTATTCAAACGACTCCTGTAAATGCCCAGCTGTGTAAAAGGTACTTTATAAGTTGTTGTTGCAAATTAAAACTCGTTCTCAATTGGCTTATCTCTTTAACTGAAGGATACAAATAAGCCACTACCCTGAAAAATGGGCCTTGTGGCCTCCTCTTGTAAGCAACCAACACTTTCTCAGTGTGGAACTACATGTTATTGAACACTGTTCCCCAGCATTTCAGAACCAGACTCTGCAGGTATTTTTCTTCAATGTCAGAATATAAATCTTCCTGTTTAAACAGCCCAAGTTTTAAGTCGGTGACAGGTCCATAGATGTCGAAGTAAAGAATGGTTTTACAAGGCCTCTCTCTTTTGTGAATATTTTAGTTTGCCGTTAAGGGGTCGGGAGTTTGGTTAAAATGAAGATTATCGAGTATCAAGGGGAGTTGTGTATTTTAAAAATCAACACCAACTGCTTCAGTGTATTTCTTAAAATTTCACATGACGGTAAATAGGGTCAGCATGGTGGTGCAGTAATTAGGATTGCTGTCTTGCAGCACTGTGGCCCTGGGTCCTAAATAATGGATGGATATACAGTACCATGATCAATACCAATGTGATTATTCCAAGGTGTAGATTCAACAAGACACAATGCTGAAAGCTGAGGGACAAGGCTGAGACCTGTGGTGATTTTCCAGTTCCTCTCCTTGTGATCGCTGATGCTTCATTCACCTACTGGCATCCATTTTCTCCCTTTTTTATTTTACACCTGTTTTGAATGTTAAGCAGCTTTTTCCCTCTCATTCCCATCTGTTGACAGTTCGCATTCACCTTTATATACAAATAGGAAATCACTCTTATTGGTGTGACTTCTCTATCTATATATTTAATTATTTTTGTGAAAGGAAGTCTCCAGTGTTCGGGTGCTGTGTAAGAATGTGAAATGTCTTCCTGGTCAGGTGAAATAAAAATAAATCTACACAGAGAATAAACTCACCACTCATCCATTTCTGTAATGTCTTGATCGTTAGATGGCTGATGGCTGGGGTGAGGCTGGACCTGACCCAGCAGGCGCAGAGTGCAAGAAGAGAACTAACACTGTATAAATACAAGGAGTTGATTAATTACACCCTGGACACTGCCAGTCCACTCCAGGGTGTAGATACACTGTTTCTCATACAAACACACCAGGGACAAGTTAAGGAATGCCAGTTAACCTGGACAGCATGCCTTTGGACTGCAGGAAGATACCAGAGCATTTGAGAAACCCATGTGAACACATAGGGAACATGCAAACTGCACTTGCACTGTCTGGTTTTCTTTAAAACTGGCACTTTTTTGTTGAGGGGTGGAGAAGTATGTACTATTTTTTGAAGAGACATACAACAGTAAATAAAATTCAAGGAAATCTTTAACTGCTGCACACTTTCACCACTAATTATCTAAAATATATGATATTTTGTATAAAATGGAACAGAAATATAAAAATATAAAGGTCATTTTATTGATCCATGAATATTGCATGAAAAATGAATGATTAAACTATCCTTTTCTTTAAATGAGCATGAATATATATTGGGTTTTATTCAGTAAAGATATTAATTTCTTGATTATGCTAAAAGCAGTATCATTTCAGTCATTTGAACATTAATATTTAAACCTTTGTCCAATTCTAAAAAATGACCCATGCAATATATTTGGTTTTATGTTAATGAGTACAACAATTAATGACTCTGCAGATGACCCTGAGATTTTCAGCTACCATAGGCTGCAGAACATGAGGGCAGTACCAGGTGCCTGGTAATTGGAGCCTAACTCAGGTGGCTAAGGAGTCAGTAAACAGATCTTGGTTGACTCCAAATGTGATGGGGGATGGAGTTTGTTCTTTCACTAGGGGGAAGGGCAGGAGGGTAGCAGCTTTTTCTGCAGGTAGTGTTATCTCCTTTCAGATTAGAGGAGTGGGGGTTATTGCTGTACTTCTTCAGTTTGAAAGGACAAAGGCAGGCGGCTCATAGCGATGGACAGAGAGGGGCAGGTTTTCACTGGGCCGTGGGGGAAGGGGGGACTGTGCTGTGCCTTTTCTTTCTAGCCCTGCAAGACGGAAACGAGTCACCTAGAAGAGCAAAATCATAGACATATATATTAAAGAAGGCTTTCGATGTGTACAGGCTATGGTTTCATAGAAATTAAAGAGGTTATAGGTGTGATATTGATTTTACACTTTCCACTTTTATTTCCTCACTTTGGTGTGGATAGCTTTACACTGAAAACTGAGTAACTAAATCCTGTCTTACCTCTTTACATATGAGTCTTATTAAGCAATAAAACAATAAAGGGCATGTCAATGTATGCGCTGCTAGTCTCCCTGTGCTGTTGCAGCAACACTACTATGTGAGCAATGAACTCCAAGGGTCTCAATATCATTATAGTGCTGTTACTGAGCCACCTTTTTCAGCATCTAGGCTTCTCAGTATCTTGCAGACAGTTATCTTTATTTCTCCCAGAAATGCACTGCAGTCTTTAGATTGCTCTGAAATAAACGACTGCACATTTGGATTACTTCAGGAATTGATCCAGTCCTATTTGTTATATTTGTCCTATTTATTCAGAATAAGGCTCTGTTACAAGCTAATTATAAACTGTTGTTTTCTGTTGTTATCTCCCCTCTAACCACTCCCCCCCCCTTCCCCCTCTCCACTCCCTCCTTCCTCCTCACTGTCTCCCTCTCTCTAGAACAGGAGAAATCCTACACTGGTTAGCTGGAGATTACCATGGAGACCAGTTTGGTGCTATCTACTACAGATCCTCTTGGAGAGCAGACAGGTGCCTACAGTGTGATAGGCTTTGGGAGAGAAGCACAAAACGTTGCCACTAACTATCTCAGCCAGCACTCCCATATGGAACATGCATATGGAGTTCATACATAAGATAACATGCCATGTAAATTTAATACATTGCGTTTCAACTTTTCTCCTTAGAATAAAATATGTTTCCAGATTTCAGAATGTTTTGTGGCCTTTTCTGCTTCGAACATGATGAACTTTTGCTTGAAGATCAGTTGCCAACACCAATAATAATCAGGGTAGCTGCATATTAAAAATAAGAGATGTAGCAGAATATTAATAAATAGCGATGACTTGCAAGTACAAAATTCCACAATGTATGATAAGTATACTCAGTCAAAAATAAAACGTGTTGTTCTTTCGGCTTAAGACTTGCTCCGTATGAAAACGTGAAAGGGCACTTCACTGCTGATTGGGGTCTGTGGGTTCTGTAAGTGGAGTACTGCTGCTGTATCTTTCAGCTAGTTTGTTTAAAAACAAGTCAACTTGTATCAAAATGTAACCCAGTGAATAAACAAACGTACCAGGCGGAAAAAATAAGGAGTGTTTATTTGTGAAATGCAAAAACTGCCAACAATAAAACAGAAAAGTGCATTACGGTTAAAAAAAAGACGAACTCCTAATACAATAAATTGTATATGGCCAATAAAGTGATCTTATCTTAAAGAAGTTCGTAAAGGCTGTTTGCTTTCAAACCGTCGTAGACACATTGTGGTGCGAAGAATTTTCGAATTTGCCTGCAAGTTATTAATCGTTTATGTCACAGTTTTTTTCCAATCGAGAAGCGATGGTTTTATTTTATGTACAAGCTTGATTACGTTTATATAATAATTTGTATATATATATAGTCGAATCTATAGTTTTTAATATTGAGATATATTCCGACTGGTGTCGCGTCCTCCTGCAACATCCCAAAATGAGCCATAATGATTTTTTGGTACCATTTTGCAATCTCTCGGGTTAACATTACAATTCTAGGACTTCACCCGATAGCCGCATGATTTATTGACACACAAAAGGTGTAAACGATTTTAATTCTGCCTTGTTCTGGACATACAGCTTTGAAACAAGCCATGTTAATCCAAGGTTAACTGAAATACAGAGAATAACGTCACCTTCGCTAAATTACAGGTTGTGCAGTGACGAGGACACAGCCCTAAATCAGTTGAATCTGAGTATCGTGTCTTCTTTGCTAGACAGCACCACACAAATTAAAACAACGTTTCGCGTAATAGACTGCTAAACGAATCTTCAGCATTAATTATTAAAGGTGAGGCTGAAAATTACATAATTGAAACGCGTACCGATTGTTTTAAACTTTTTTGCCCGTACTCAATTTAACTTTCAACCTTACAAGTTAGGAAATGAAGACCAAAGCAATTCTGAACAAATATGTAAGCTGTTGGTTCGTATTTAAATTTCGGGGGTGTTCCTCAGGTTAGCTAAAAATAAAATGCAGTAGCATTTTCCTGTTACATTGTTACTGCTAACCATCGCCACAAGAGTCCTAGCGCTGTCGCGGCATTCTGGGACTTGTAGTCCAACGGAAGGACCTCCTTGAATCTGCGAGCAGAAAGTGGGCAGTGAGGAACTACTCTACCCAGAAATCTTTACATCATAGTACTAGCTCGTTTCTTGCGCTTGGGGAGTGTTTCCCATTTAAACAAACACTGTGCTGAAGATGGCGGAGAGTTAGTAGTGGAAATAAAGAAACTGGTGTGCTTTGAGGAATACGTTGGATCTGGTGAGTTCGAGTATATGAATTTGTTTTATATTGTGCGGCGAACAGTTTTTATTTGCGTTTTTTCTGCAGTTAGCCTAATCAAACACGCAGACGACGGTGAAGACTTGCGCTATTTTTTTCGCTAAATTAGATGTTCTTCCTAGCCTTACTCTTAATACTTAACCATTATTAACACAGCGCTGTGCACGCTCATTTAGTTTGGTGGTCGAGAATTAAATTACTTGGTTTATGTCTTTTTGCTGCGGACGTTAATCCGAGTTTGTAAAAACGTATTTTTTCTTAAGAAGCAGGGTTTGGGTGAATTATCTTATTTTGTTAGGATTTCATGAAGTTGGGAAGAGAAGGGAGAATGAATTTTGTCACTGTTTCTACCCACTTTAATAAACGATTTTTTCCGGTTAGAAAATGGCTTTGCAAACTTGTTTGTTAGTTTTTTTTTTTAAACTGGTTTGGCTGTCCTGTGTCGAAGTCCATTATAACTAACCTTCGTTCAATTGGAGTTATAACAAAGTTGAGTTATCTAGTTACAGTTTAATAAATATTTGTGAAACTTTACGCAAATAAGCATTTTTTATTTGGTACATGAAAGCATATTTTGCAAATACACAGTAACAGTTTGTAGAAACTTTATTTTACTAACGTTTCGCGATTGTGTTACTGGAATTAAAATGCGAAATGCTGATTCGTCTCCTCTTTAAAATGCAGACAGTTTCACAGTGAAACAAATAGTGGAGAAATCGATTTAGTACTTATGCTGCCGTGGACCTTCGGGTATCGTTAACGCCAAATCTCTATAGCTCTTGCATTTATAAGTAGTTTTTACAATGTTTTATACCGCACACGCAATGTCTGTTGTGCACGCCGTGCGCTCCTGCAAAAAAAAAAAACCCTGCGAATGAACGTGTCGTATGATCTCAGCTGTAGGGATTTAATAGTCTGATCTCTACCACATTTTCAGCTGCTCTTATGCAGGAGAGAGACGGGAGGGGGGACATTACTGGCTAGTCCATGACCTTTAAATTGTTGTTTACGTGGGTAGTATAAGACATTTTTACCTGCAACTCTTAGTAGTGCGCGTTTTGAGATTTACGTTTAACACTGTTGTTGATACACGCGTGGGTGTTAACGGCCAGAGTTTCGAAGTTTTCTTGTGTGACTGTTTTGCTCGTTTCTAAGCTTAAAAAAAAAAGCTGAGAGCGTTATCTAAATAAACGGCAACTTTCATTTTGTTTCTGATCGGAGATAAGTCGTGACTTGCTCTGAATGTGTGCATTGTGCCTAGTGGGTGTTCAACCTTTGCAGAAGGGGATGGCTTTATGTAATTCTTAGGAAAGGGGCAGAGTGATCGCATTGGACTGTTGACTAGGTGTTGCTAGTAATTGGGGAGGGCGATGCAGTACTTCCCGTTCGGTCTCATTACAAGAAGGAAAAATGTAGGGAAGGAATTGCTTCCAATATGGTGTGAGGCTTGATTAAAACTAAAAACATCGCCAGCAGTGAATTTCGGAGATAAAATTGTCCTTGAACCAGGAATTTGAGCTGTTTGTCGTATCTTAAGATAGTAGTGAGCAACCTGGGTTCCTTGAGTGATGTGCTCTTGCAAAGATAAGCTGTGACCCTTAAGAATTCCCGAAGCAAATTATTCATATCACTGATGTGGAGACGTTTTCATCCTTTACCTGTGAAAAGGATATAGGTGTGTTGCTGATATTGCTAATTTGTGTGGTTTTTCAGTTTCTTTTATATTGGGGTGTACTGTGCCTGTTGAAGCTGTTTTAGACTACAGATGCATCGCCCTGAATTTCTTGGGTTATCCATCATTGGACTGAGCTAGAAGAGGTTTTATTACACTGTGTGTGTAATAAAATGCTTTGTGTGTAGTAATATGGTTTGCAAGAAGTGGCCCGTCATAGAATACACTATTGAGAGAAACAGAATCACCTTGGTTTGTTATTCTGTTTGTGGCCCATCATTTATTGGTCATGATTAATATCAAATGATAAAATCACAAATGCAGTTTTTGAAAGCTGTACTGCTATTTGTTTACTGGCTCTATATATAATAACCTCTGGTGTCTGTGCACCTTTGGGAAAGCTTACTGGGGTGATGTCCCAGTAATTCAAGTGGTCTTTGACGTTTTGCTAGAGACTATCACTCATTGTGTGAATCTGGTGAAACAGATGAATTGCTATTTTATGTTCTGATGCGTGAAAATGAAAAGCAAAGTTTTCAGTGTGGAATATATTTAACCACATGTAGCTGAGCTTTGTTGTAAATAAGTTCCAGTTTTACTGTTTGATTATGTCTTGACTTCTGTTGGTGGGATTCTCTTTTATTTGTTCAAAAGGAGGGCGTTTGCACTTTACATCTATTCCAGCCATCACCATGCTGTGATAAAGATGCAGCTTTATAACCTGTAAACAGCATTTTGTTCACATTTTGCATGTTAAGAACTCACCGATTGTAGAAGAGGACCAAGCTATTTTCTGAAGTTTCAATTTGAGCAAATTGCTTTGATGCATTCACATGATTTGCTAGTAGTCTTCCTAATTGTTTGGCTTTATAGACATGCAGTAACCTATATCTGCATTTTATATCTGTCCATCCACTTCAGGTCTTGAGTAGATAGGTGGGTTCTTAATACGTTCCAGGCAGCCTGTACTAAAGTAAGAGAACCACACGGTTTGTAAAACATGTTTTATGACATGGATTAAAATGAGTCACAGAACACAGACTAATCAGATCCAAGCTTTCAAATCTGCCTCTTGTACGTTGGCTTACCTGTCTAACTATCTTAAGGTTGTGCTCATGGGGTTTATCACCTGATGTCTGTTTGAAATGCTGGACATGCATTTCTAAAAGCGAATGAACTAAGCCAGTAGAGATCGTGGGCAAGGGTTTCTGATTCTGTATCTTTGACAGATCAAAAATAAAGGCCCTGTGGTGTATCTTTCTTTTGCACCACCCCTGGCAAAATGCGTACTGTTATGCCGCCATTGTAATGATAGAACTACCAATATGTTATTTAATAATAATGTAATAGAAATGTCGCGGCTTTATAATTTAAATTTTGGCTTACGTGGTTTTATTCAGCTGTAACAGTTTTGCTGTGCAGACACTCCAGGCTCTGATTGTTTCATGGATGAGGTATCATCTGAAGAGTACAACTGTCATTTGGTTCAGGTATCCTGGGACTGCAGCTCAGTATGCCAGTGCTTTTGGGTGTAAATTTAAAATTAACTGCAAGGAAAGTAGTATTGTCGTATTAATGTAATTTTCTGTTGAAACCTGTGATATTATTAATGTACTGCTAAGAGCAATCTTCCCTTTTTTTTAGTATGTCATTAACCAGGAATGAGGTCTTTGACTTGTTGCTTCATGGGTATTTTCAGGAATGTTACCATCCTGTCCTTCTGTATATAAATATTGTTTATAATGAAACAAATGCCTTTTGCTACAGTATCATTATAGCATTATAATAAGAGACAGCTTTCATATAGTGACTTAAGGAAAAATAGTGTTGAAGTCTCTTATTACTTGAATAGATAGCTGGGGGAGGGGAGTTGTGTAAAAAATTTCAGCAGACGTTCTCCTTATGGGTTCTGGAGTTCTGAAGTTGAGGGGTGGAGTGCTACAATTAAAAGGTCTTGTTCAGATATCTTTTTGGCAGATTTATTACACGCAGTGCCTATCTTTTACACCGATCCCTTGATGAACAGTTTTCTTTTCATTTGCCTCATAAAGATAGGAGGCCCTTAAATCACACTAAACATGAGTTCTCCGACGTTGCCGTGCTGCTCCACATGAGGGCTTGCACGTGGAGCTGAATGAATGAAGACCCTGAGGTGACATGATGCATCGTTTTCAAAATGGGGGGGGGGTGGGTGGGGAATTCAGTCCAGCCCTGAAGCAGTTAGTTGCTGTGGTAGGTGCTGTTTGTCCCTGCAGACCAGGCTAGATAACCTGGCCAAAAAGCTCCAAAAAGTTGAGTTGATAGTCATTTTGCAGTGTCGCCTGAATACAGCAGATAGGACATGGTCAGGCAGTACCAATGATATTCATTGATTTCAGCTTGTGGACTGTTGATTTGGGCAGGGAGGTCTTTCTGCTAGTTTCTGCTTTCTATTGCATGTTTGTGCTAAGCATATTCACCAAGTAGTTTGCATTGTCCGGTGCCTTACTCAAGCTCCAGTAGGAGGAGGCAGAATGACTGTTGTTCTGTGGCTCAGGGGGCCCCTTGCCAGTGTGTCAGTTTGCATTAAAAATTAATTTATCTTGTGCGAGTTTCATTGATTTCAGGAAAGATCTTTTTTTCCCCCTTTTACTTCATTGAACAATTATAAAAACAAGTGGAAAATGGCAGACCTGCTGGCCATTATATTTCACCAGCCTGTAATTACACATCTTCAGAGGCCTTCTGATGAGCTCTTGGATATATAAGTGCTGGACCCAGTAGCAATCTGTTCACTCCCCATAGAAACAGCGTGTGTCGAACACCTTCAATTTTGATTGTATCTGTATAGTGTATGTGTTTGTACCACGTTGTCATGTATAAGTTAAAGCCATGAACTCTTTCCTGTATCTGGTGGCGTTTCAGTGCTTTTATGCATGAAAGTTGTTTGTGCTCATTTGTTAAGGTAAGAGTGGAGAAGGTATATAATAGTTTCCACTCTGGGGGGTGTGGGGGGAAGGGGGGATTGCTAGTTGACTATTGTTCTCTTGCCTCAGATGTTAGTTAAAAGAGAAGCAAGACATTTGTACTTCTTTCTGTATGCTAAAGAGGTTTAATCACCACTCTTTTCAGCTATTATATGTAAACTGTTGTTTTGTTTTTAGTGAAACTTTTTTCTTTGCATCCAAAAGCACCCCCCCCCTGTTATGCAGATTGGTTTTCTAACTGCAATTGTATTTTAATCATTTAGAATTCTTTTTACAAAAGGTGACATTGAGCAGCTGTTAGTGTCTTACCTTGAGTGATACCCCCCCCAGGCACACCTTAG